GTACAACAGCTTCGTCAACGCTCAGACCTACGAGGCTTCCCTGATTGAGGCATTTTCTGAGGAGGCTATCCAGCAGTCCCGTGAGTTTCTGTGATTGATGTCAAAGTGATCACTAATATGTCTAACCATTAATCATAGCCAACTTCTCTGCCTTCGAGGTTGACGAGGAGGTTCTTGGCAACCTTCGCGAGTACAGCCTTGCCAACTCCCTCTACTGGGCTCTTGCTGAGGGCCACGCCTGCGAGCAGTCTGCCCGACGAAACGCTATGGATGTAAGTATCACTAGGTTGTAACTCTCATGACTAGCACTTACTGACAATTGCCGCAGAACGCATCTAAGAACGCTGGTGAGATGATCAGCAAGTACCAGATTCTCTTCAACCGTACTCGACAGGCCGTCATTACCGGAGAACTGGTTGAGATTATCACTGGTGCTACTGCCTCTGCGGACATGTAAGGAGTGGGAGTACAAGATGGGGTGTAATGCTTCCCTTTGTAACAAATGTCATTGGGCTACCATCCATGTATGGTTCCCCCCATTGTATCAAAGCTTTCAATAAATTCCTTAGTAGCCCATGCAGTCAATGCACGGCAGTGCCAAAAAACAAAAACAGAACAAACACTGCCTCTCGATGGCTGTTGGCGGAAGTAAGAATTTTCATTGTATAAAACTTCGATAAATTTAAGTACTAGTTATAACTCAACCACCCTCGTCTGAAAACGCCGAATACCGATACCATTATATTTTGAGAACCATCAACAACCAAAACGGGGTAGCTTCTCAAGTGTAAGTCACAGAAACCAGAAACGCCATCAACACCTAATATGGAATGCGTCGAAGCAAATCTCAGAACCCAAGGTCACTGTCCTCCGCATAACTTATGTGTCTCGTCCTGCGATATTTGCTGGAACTCTCGTGAGGAACCTCTGTTATCTTGGCGGTACCAAAAGGATTCTCTTTCTCGTAAGCTGTTCGCAGTGCAGCGGCCTCCTGATCCCATCGTTCGGTGGCTCGGGTCCATGCCTGAACAGCTTCAGCGTACCCGCGCTTTTGCTCGGTTGCCTGGTCTTCATATGGCTTGCGTTCCTCAAACGAAGCGTCCCTCCACATCTTACTAGTCATGATCCGAACTTCGTTGGGGACAGCACGCCCACCTTTGCCTGGTTTCCGATTCTCCTCACACTTCTTCCTCGCAACGTCGAATAGATCCTTGCTATAGAGTATATACGCATTCCCTGCAACTTTAGCCGGACGAGAGGGTCTTACCCCAAGCTTCGATTGTATATAGGTATGAATCTCGTTTTCATAGGCCTGAAGTCGTGCTGGTTGCTGATCTTGGGCAGGCTCCTTACGCTTGCGCAGCAGCACAGAGTCTCGAGGCAGTATCAGTGGTGTCGGGACCTCAATGGGGCCGATCAAGGTCTCCAAAACTTCAGAAGCTGCCCTTAGACCGGACAGATACGCCCCATGAACCGTGGCTGGGTGCGTACCAATGGTGTGTTCACCAGCAAAGAAGAGGTTTCCGACAGGTCTGGCCATGACATCGTAGTCTTCTGGCTGCATCCCGGGAGCAGCAGAAGAATAACTACCTCGAGCGAATCGATCTGAACCCCAGCGGGTGACCATGGCCTCTACAGGATAGGGGACATCCTGGCCAAAGACGCTGCGTAGTACTTCCGTGGCTTCTGCCACAAGGCTGTCGTTACTTGAATGTTCTGTCTCAAAACCAGCCTCCCCTGCCATCAAAGCAATGAGACATGGAAGACCTGTCGTGTTGGATACGTTGAACCATTGAAAAAAGCGACCACGATTTGCGGCATAGTCTTTTTGTGAGGTACTCAGTCGGTTGGAAGACTCCCTCAAGACGCCAAAGATATGTCTGTCATGGTCCCAGAAAATCTTATCGTACACTAGAACAACCTTGTTCAGAATGCCGAATCCAAGTCGCTCAACGACATCAGTTTTCCACGATGGAAGAGGTGGGTTGAAGACGATATTGTTCTGTTTTAGAACACCGAGCGGAATAGTGCAAACCACGGCATCAGCATCCACTACTGAGCCGTCTTCGCATTCAATCGCAGCTGACGCCATGCCCTCTCCAGTATGGTAGGATATGCTCTTGACCGGGAATTTAGTCTTGAGGTCAAGTGAGCTCGGGCAGTGAACCAAGCCGCGAGCCACACTTTGGTAACCGCCCACGACCATGGTATGGCTTCCCTCCCATTCATTACCTGCATCAATGTCCCACAATGGGAGGCTCAGGTTGTGCAAGCTTGTAGCGTTACTGTACTCCAAATTGGCAATGTGCCAGTTGATCAGTCGGTGATCCTGGGCATTCAGCCCTATGATTTGTTTGTACTGGGAAATGGCGTTATCAAGAACAGATCCCAGAGTTGCCCCCTCTTCATTCACTGCCGATGTTAAATCAATGTTCTCTCCGTCGGCTGAGTCTCGAATTGTCCAGCCCATCAACTTTGCTTTGTCGGAGGCTTTAGTAGTCGCGGGAGTGCCAGGCTCCATATGGACCCTACCCGTGAGCTTGTCTGACGATACTGGTATCAGGTTGACCTTTACTGGGACGTTATGTTGTGTCACTGGAGGTGCATCTTGCTGTGCAGCAGCAGCCTCTTCCTGAAACATTGTCTTGCTACCGTCTCCAGGACTATCACGCCCCTCTTCGATGAGATCCCGTCGACCTTCGACCAGTTTTGCAAGTTGATTTTTATGCTTGTATTCGCTGACGCGGTCTAAACAGTCATTGTAAAGTTTTTCAACGAGCTGATCGCGCACAGGGTCAACTGCCCTTCCACTGCTGTCGTAGATTGTAGTATCGGCTGTCAGTGCATGATAAGGAAGTCCCAATTGCCCACGAAGCAGGATGTTGATGGGGTTTCCCCGGTCGAACCCAGTAATGATCATGCCGCCCATCTCCGCAGTGTGTCGCTTGCCTTCAAAAGCTGGAGATTTTTCTTTTGGTTTGGTCCGGAACTCGCGAGAGTATACTCTTCCTCCAACACGGGCGCGCCCTTCAAGCACAACCACTCGAGGCGCAGGCTCGCCTCGTTCATGGAAGCGATCGGCAAATTGCCTGAACAATCCCTCAAGCTGTCTTGCGCAACCCAGTCCGGAGATACCAGCACCTATGACAGCGATGGTCTTTTGTCTCTTGACAACCGGTGCAACAGTATCGTCTGTCTCAGCTTCGGAGAGTCGCACACATCCGTAGTTGATATAGCCCCGACGAACAAGCCAATCATAGCAAACACTCGCTGCGTCGAACCAGCGAGCGTTAGCACACCCAACCGCTTCCAGCCGGGTCACACCGATCCAAGGGTGTTTGAACCATAGCCGTATGATGCCATTTCTAATATTGAGATATGTTGTTACTTGCGTATAAGATATGTGATGACGGAGGAGGTGGTATTCCTCCGGATGTAAAGCATATGGGTTGAGCCGGCTTGACTCGGCGGCCGAGACACATTCTGACGCATACTGATATGCTGACATATCAGTTGGTATCGAAGCCTTGGGTCTGATATTGAAGTTATAGCGTTCGGCATCATGAGAAGGTGATTGTTGATGAGACTGAGGCTGGTCGTCGATTGAAAGATCTTGGTCTTGGTCTTGGTCTTCTTCTTGTGCACCATCAGTATCGACTGGTGTAGGGGTAGTAGCCTTACTCGATACCGTCGAGGGTATCGATGAGAGGTCTGATAGTTCTGTGAGGTTCGAGGGAAGAGAGCCTACGGCGTCCTCTACAGTAGACACCCCAAATGGCGTTGGGCCATCGTCGTTCTGAGAAGGCCCCTCCCTGCGCACAGTTAGAGTTGGGTCTGAAAGACTCTGTCGAGTCATCGAGCACGTAAAGTCGAGGCATTAGACCACTCACTCGGCATAACTTTTGATGCTTGACAATTCATCTTCAGACTCAACGTGACTAGCGTTGTCAATATCCATATCTTCAGTCCACACAACAATCTCTGGCGCAATTTCGGAGGCTATTTCTGTCGAAGTCTGTCGCGACTGAGGCACCGAAACTACATCAGGAGTGATTGGAGGCGATATACGACCCGCAGGGTTCGACATGACAATAGTGTCAGATGGGGTCAGCGAATCAATGGCGTCCTTATCGTCCAAGTCCATCTTCCTAATGCCGATCCCCTTGCGAAAGCTCTGCCCAAAGTCTGACCCCATGGCGGCGTCGGTTTCGAAGGGTTTCCCCGGGTATTGGTCTGTCTGAAATTGCGGGCGCTACTGTCTGGCGGAAGGAAGAGTATTTCTAAGAGCCGAGTGAAATGAGGAAAGTTGCATTATGCGAAAAGAACTAAAGAAAACTCAGGACCCTACTGAATAGTCAGCTTGTTTGTGTATGGAGTTTAGAGGACATGTACGAAATGACCAACCTTCTAAACTCGTTCGATGTCGTGGATTAATGAGTATGGTAAGGTACTAAGGTAGGTAAGGTAGGCAGTGAGAAGATTTGAGTGGATAGACTCGTCGCAGTGACATGCTTTTTCTCGATATCGATTCTTTGGACAATTTCTAGTCCATGGTTGATTCAGCGTGAGTTATTTCAGAAGACAACTCAGTTGTCAAAGGCTGTCCGTCTCCTTTGCCTTAGAGGAACTTGCCATCCATCGTCAGCCATTCAGCCCCTCAGAATAAGGAAAGCAACCTTCAAATTCGATCACGTGCGGCGCTACGGTCAAATCAGACGCCTCCAACAGGTGGGTCAACAGTTCATTCAGACGGACGACATTCAAGTTCTGAGTCTGTATTAATGAGCTTCATTTTCAAGATATTTACAATCGTGTTGTTAAGGTCTGGGACGATCCTTCAAAGAATGGGTTCCACGCCTGCCTACCGTAACTTGTTGATGTACTCGGTATCTTGCTCCAATCATTCAAACGCCATCGAAATGCTCCCAACCAGGTAACCAGTAAGGTACTTGACAATATTCTAGGTATCATAAATAAGTATAGTATGCTGACATTGGATATCAGGTCGTTGAAGCGGGCACGCTCTCTTTCGCAAACGATTCCTTCTCGATCGCCGATTCCATCATCTTGTTTCCATTGATGATCGACGTTGTGCAAATCACAATATTTCTCCGTCCTGTTGAGGCAATGTCAGATTCCATTTCAGAGCAACCCCGGCAGCTGTAAGAGTGCTTACCTTCTTCTTGCTTTGCAATAAACCTTAGAGCAGCAATCTCGGTGAAAGTGATGCCGCCGACGAATACAACAAAGACAGTCTGCTTGTTGCCACTTCCAGAGAGCAATGCCCGGGCTTTGACAGCCTTATCCTCACCCTTCTGGTGCTCATAAAACGTCTGCCCTCGAACGTGTTTGACAGCTTCGTCAAACCCTTGCCATCCTTGCGTGCCAACACCTGCAGGCGCTCCCGCTGCGTTGGCGCTGTTTCCTTTAGTCACCGAAAGCAGATATTGCTTCTGCAGAATGCATTGAACGAGGCGAATTGAAAGAGGAGCATAACCACTGTACACATAGGAAATGTCGTTTGGATCGTCCTCTTGAACCTCATCAACGATGAGCCGAAGCTGCTTGCGAAGATACGTATAATTCGTCTTGCTTCCTGTCGGGCCGGCGTTGGCGCCTGGGATAGGGATCATGCCAGCCAGGGGCGACGACTTGGACAGAAAGAGTTGTAGTTTCTCTAGGTTGCTAAGCGTGAGGAGATGCTGGTAGCCGTAGCCTTCTAGAATCAAGCGTCTGAATTGATCGAACTCCTTAGGCCTTATGCCCCCAGATATGCACGAGTAAATACACAGTAATCTTAGAGTCTGCGCGATAGGAGCGTCTCGCGCGATCAATTCTTCAATGCCATCGAACTGGCTTGACGGATCAGCCCCAGCGGCGAGATTTTGTTGAACCTCCAAAAGACCCTTGAACTGGTCTGTCCGGGTATGTTTAATAATCTCCTCCGCGAGGCCTGTGTGTATTCTCGCACTCTGCTGTTCTTGTTGGTATCCTGGCAATTGACTGACAAAGTCTTTGAGTTCCGCAATAGTCTTTGTTTTGTGTTTACTCTCGTAATCGCTTTGCACCTTCTGTAGCCGCCTCGCAACTTTGTTGAGGAGACTTCCAACGATCGCAAAGTTGGCGTCACGTAATTGCTCGTAAAGCTTGTCGCTCGAGTCCAGCTGGATTGTTCGTTTCCTGCTTTGTGAAGTTGCAGCCGAGGCCTGTGCCGGTGCGCCGACAACTGTTGTGTCGACTTTGGTCTGGTTGTTGTGGATCTCGAAGACTTCATCAATGAGCCCCTCATATGTCAGTTGAGTGAGCAAGGGTGTAACAAAGTCAACTTCACGATCGACGATAATTACGCTCTCGTTGGTTGTGCTAGGCGTCAACCCAATCTTGTTGGCTTCTGGCGTATCTTCACCAGCAAGAAGCTCTTGGCGCATACGAGAAAGCAAGTCGGCAACGCGCTTTGCGTTATCACCCTTCCCTATCACTCGCGGGAATAGGCCATGGTTTCTTTGAATCTCCATAAGGGCTTTGGCCATAAGGAAGTTGGGTGTAACGTCTTTAGATAGGTACAGATCGCGGAATGAGCCGTCGAGCTCGAGTGACAGAACATCCTTCTCCAGAGGGAAGAATGATAGTGGCAGTTCCGCAATGTTGGCATCGCCTAATACACCGGCCTCTTCTAGAAGCTTGTCGGAGACGAGGGTTCTGCGAGGGACCCAGAATATGTGAAAGTCGTGCCCGGTTTGGCTTTCGCGCTGGATACGCTTGATTTGAGCTAGGAGGGGGTCAGAGTGCAACTTCTCTGTCGTATTATGGCAACTGACCAGCTATGGCTTCAGCATGGCGACCACATTCGCCACGAGAAATAAAGACAACATTGCGCTGGCTGGTATCGGCATTATCATTCTCCAGAATGAAGAACTTATCTACTCCATATTCTTGAAGGACGGCAACCTTGACTATAGTCCCGATTGGCCCGACGAGGCTTTGATCTAGAACAACATTCTTCTTCCCGCGAACCTACATAGAAGTGAGGTGTGAGTTGAGTTCGCCGGATGCGTGAATCACATAGCTTTCGGCTTGGGTGAAGCTCGCGGGCCAAGGCGGTGGGAACGTACACCTTCGAGGAGATACAACAGATCCTTTCTCGCCTTGCTGCGAACCTGCTCGACGTTGAATTCTATCCGGGGAGCCATGGGATCGGCTAAACGCGATTGCGCGGGGTTGGCGAGAGAAACTCAAGAGGGAGCGAGGTGAGGGAGCTCAGTGATTGAGATAGCTTCGGGTCAAGTGGATGGATCAGGGTGCGAAATGACGGAGCTCTACAGTATACCTAGGTAGGTAAGCTAGTAAGGTAGGTTGTGTGCGGATGACGGCAGTAAAGTGGGGGGTTCTAGAGCTTCTGCACCAGCCACTGCAGCAACGCTTCATTGGTGGGGCCGACGTATAATTGAAGTCCCGTCAGGTCAGGTCTAAATTGGTTCAGGTCAATCTTGCTGATTTAAAAAGCATCAGGAGTCCAAGGTAATGGATAGGTAATTACAGGATGCACGTTATAGTGTAGTAAACAAGCAGATATATGTGACAGTAAGCGGCCGTCTTCCTCCGTCGCGGGATGGATATGAGGACGCTAATTACTAGAGTAACCCTCTCACTTCAGTTGATCGGGTCATTAGTAACAAACATGAAAGATGCATGGCGTCGTAGTGAAACAAATGTCTAGCAGATTCTCGTAATTATCATAAGCAACTAGAAATATCGTACACCTGGCCATTGTGTTCTGCGGAGACCATCGTCCGCCCCCTTCATGATATTCATCATTGAGCAGCCCATGTTGACTGTACTAGATATGCTTATGCCCAGCCTCAGCCCGAGGCATGCAAATGCGCATCTCAACAACTGTGTTCCGTCGGTAAATGCAAATGCTATATCCCATACGCTGATCTCCTGTCACGACCAGATGGTGTGTCCTGAACGCCAAATGAATGCTATTTATATCCCGAGTCCCCGTGCATTCGTCTGCATATGACGAGTCCGCATCGTCCCGTTCACACGGTGTTATCGTGGTAGAGGAACTCGATGTCTCGGGGCCGTTGCTTATTGCCTCGCACAAAGTCCTCATCGCCGGGAGGTCGCTCGTTTTTGTCGTTGCTCGTCAACATGCTTTGGATGCTCATGCATACGCTCGAAACGCTTTGGACTGGACTCCAACCCTGTTGACCTAGAAGATCTAGACAGATGATGCCGTTGGAGTATATGTGAGGATGCATGGGAATGGGCCGATCGGTTTGCTTGTCAAAAGTGACCTCAGGGGGCTCTATACAGTATTGTTAGTATTTATACCATATGCGAGCAGTGCATGAATATGGCGAATCCATCCACGAACCTATGGGATACATCTTGGGGAAATGGAACTTGAGGCGGTAGACTTGGTTCTTGTAAAGCGGATTGTCGTCGAGAACCTGGATATCAACAAACCAGTCGCCAGCAACACTGTCGTTGCGTTCTATCAATGTGATACCAGGGGGCATTCCATCCTTATGAATCTGCGGGGCACAAGAGCGTCAGTCGAGTCTCCGATGCGTTGACGAAGGGATACGAAGAACCAACCTTGCCCAGCTCCTTGACCAGACGCCTATCCCGCGTGGCTCCAGCCATCGTCGATGAGGTTAATTGTTCCCCTGGTTTTTGGTTCAATTGACGTGCGATGGAAAAGAAGCGTTGGCGGAAGATCAGATGTAGGTGAAAGGTTTCGAACAAAGTGTTGGGCGTAGTTTGGTGGAACAGTCAAACACTAGGTAGGAGGCAATGAGGGGCCGTTTGCGATGCTGCGCCCACAATCGAGAACCCCCCCAAGTCACCGTGGTAGTGGAAAGAAGGACCCAGTCAATCAATGGATCTGAGGACAGCCGGACGCGGGAATGTCTAGCTGGGTATGATTGGTTCAAAACATAGCGAAACATTTCCTTTACAGCAAGGCATTGTATAACCTGTTGTTTGCAGATTTCTATAGAACGAACCTAAGGTGTTTGTCGGTATTGGATTGGAATGTCAGCCCTTCCCATCCCTGTGGGCTATCTTAAATACATCATATCCTTTTCTGATGTTGTTGTAGCGCTTAGGGTCAATCATGTCCCAGTCTTGGAGATCGACAATAAGTGTATGTAGCTGAGCTAGGCCCATAAATTGATTCGTGTTGTACTATTGGGTGAACTCATACAGCTGTTATGCCATGATTTTCTTTACTCGGTCGACTTGTCTCATCAGTATCTGAGTAGTAAGACATGAAGCTGTTCGAATGCGGATCGAGGGTTAATTCTTTAGCTGTCGCTAGCCTCTGCTTGTCATGTCAACTCTGATTTCGGCTATTTAACGCGCCTGTACAGTAGGTAGACCTTTGTACCACGTAAGTCGATGGGAGTCACACAGGTTTTGACTATTATACCTTCCAGCCCAGGTTAAATAAAATTCAATTGAGAAATTTCCATATGTGTTGGTCACAAAGGACATCATCCATCATGTGTCCAGCTTACTCGGTACAGTGAGCAGCGAATCGCTAGATAGGTGCCTTTAGCTTACGGACGATCACCTAGGTAGATAAGATATGAACCTATCCAATGGCTTTCTTTCGCTGCCAGGATGGATGGCCAGCCAGCAAGCAGATTGCGCATGAAAATTGATGATCTCCAGCTTCAAGGCGAGACGATTAAGATGAGGGTTCTGAATACCCTCCGCTAACTTACTGAGGCCTCCATATTTCAGGGCATGTGAACGCTAATAGCACGCAAGGCATAGTCGCCTTGGTAATGCCAATGGAACGACGCTGGTTGTAGGGCTGGGTGCATTAAGAGGCAACCTGCCCACCTTGGAAAGGATAGAAGCAATCAATTGCGATGATAGTACTCCGTACCTAGGTACTCCTTACTGCAGGTACCTACAAGGCGCACCCTATTGTTAAATAGGGCTTAAGTAAAGGTTATAGGCTATAACAGGCTATTAATATAGTCTATAACCTAGTTACAGTTAAAGGCCTATAACTTAATATTATCTTATTGAAAATAGCCCTTTTTCTTATTAATTAGATTATTATAATTAATAGCTTAATATTATATTATAGATCTTTAATAATTAATAGGTTATTAACTATATTAATAGCCTATTAGTTAGATTAATAAGTCTAATTTACTTAATAGTCTATTTAGTACTATAGCTATTAATTAATTACTTATAGAGATATCTATATCTATACCTATATCTATACCTATATCTATACTTACCTTTTAATATATATTAAAATTATAAGTTCTTTTATAATAGTAACTAGATTACCTAGTTAATAATCTAGTAGTATAATAATTAATTTAATACTTTAGCTAAAGCTATAAGTAAACTATATAGCCTTAACTTCTTAAAAAAAAAAGGCTTTAAAAAAAAGTCTTATAATATTTCCATTTTACCTTTTTAATACCTATTATAATTAACTTTTAATACCTCTATAAGCTACTTTAAAGTTAGGCTATTAATAGCTAATTATTAAGGTATCTATTACCTTAAATAGCCTAGTTAGTATTTTTAAGCTTATTAACTAAATTACGCTAAAAGTAATATTAATTAAAATAAAAGAGAAATAGTTTATAAGCTATTATAAGCCTATTTAAATTAATAGCTTATCTTTTAATAATAACTAATATAATTAATTGTTTTTTAATAAGCTAATAAGGCTAATCAGGCTAGCTAAAAATCGCCAAAAACCTGGCCAAGGACCTATTCAGAAGGGGGGGTCGCGCGCGAAGGTAGTTTTGTTCTGCTCAGCCACGAACTTAAGCGAAAACTCGACAACTGCTTCCAGGAATGGATCTTGGATATCATGATCCACAAAGACTCAGCCTCACCTGCAATTACCGGTATTGCAGGTGCGGTTTCTTCCCTGTCAGCATCCATCAGATGGATCCGGAGATGCCTTCAGCCCAGGGATCGTAAATGCCTGAGCCACACTCCTTTGCAACCAATTATCCATAGCCATTCATGGTGGCACCCCGCTAGTGGAGTGCCTAAGTGCTAAAGTCCCGTCCCCCAAAGGTGGCATACGGCGCTCTCTGCTCAGGCTGACAGCCCCAGGGCCCCCAGTCTGCCCACTGCCCACTGCCCCGTCAGTTGTCAGTCGTCAGTGGAGGGTCCCGTAACTACCTAGCTACCAAAGTTGGTAGGTGTCGCAAGCTAATTAACCAGGACCTCCTCCTCCTCGTCCCGTCCGTCACCGTCGCCTACTTTCTCTTCTTACATAACTCTCGTTATCCCAGAGGCTTCACCCTCTCAGACCTACTATAACACTCTTTGTGTGAGACCGAATTGCCGTGCGGGTACATATCTTCTCGTCTTATCAGCCAAAGACAGACTCGATCTTGTCTTCGTTTCCCCTCCAGCTTACCATCTCCAAAACCCAAACGGGTCGCTTTCTACCCCGCCAAAACGGCCGCCATGAGTTGTAAGTTGCGACTATTCACAGCCTTGTTCCCCTCCCCGCTCTGGCGATTTGGCCTTTACGTCTGGTGTCTTGCTTTCCAGAGGCCCGTCCTGCTGGTTGATTTTTGCACCACCCTGAATTATATGCTGACCACGGTCGTCATGTGCAGTCGCCGGCATGCTGAACAGGCTTCATGGCCAACCCGAGAGCTACGATAAGAAGTGCGCCCGAACTCCCCTGTCCCTCGATCACAAATCCGATGATTCCTAACAAATGCTTTCTTCTGTAGAGCTAAGTACAGGTTTGGTCGAACACTCGGTGCTGGAACATATGGAGTCGTCCGGGAGGCTGACGGCCCAACTGGCAAGGTTGCCGTCAAGATAATTCTTAAACGAAATGTGAAGGGAAACGAACAGATGGTCTACGACGAGCTGGAGATGCTTCAGAAACTCAAGCATCCTCACATTGTCAAGTTTGTTGACTGGTTCGAGTCGAGAGTAAGCTCATCCAACCCCAAATCTCCATCCCGACCCCCACTCAGGTCAGGTTCTTGGGAAACTAGCTGAGTTCACTACCCTCCCTCTCTGTTTCCCACATGCCATGTTGCTTACATTTTCCGTGTCTTCAGGACAAGTTTTATATCGTGACACAGCTTGCTACCGGCGGTGAGCTCTTTGACCGCATTTGCGAGCAGGGCAAGTTCACCGAGAAGGATGCCGCTGAAACTATTAAGCAAATCCTACTTGCTGTCGATTTCCTTCACAAGAACAACATTGTTCACAGAGGTACAGTGCTTCAAACGGCATATCTCTGGACACCAACTAACCCGGTTTTCAGATCTCAAGCCCGAGAACCTCCTTTACCTAAGCAAAGATCCCGATTCCGACCTCGTTTTGGCCGACTTCGGTATTGCCAAGATGCTCGACGGAAAGGGCGAGTCTCTCAAGACCATGGCTGGCTCTTTCGGTTATGCTGCCCCCGAGGTGATGCGCAAGGAAGGTCATGGAAAGCCCGTGGATATGTGGTCCATGGGTGTCATCACTTACACTTTGCTCTGTGGTTACTCACCTTTCCGCAGTGAGAACCTTCAGGACCTTATCCGGGAGTGCACTGAGAACTCGGTTGTCTTCCACGAGCGATACTGGAAGGACGTCAGCAACGATGCAAAAGACTTCATCTTGCATCTGATCAACCCAGATGCTGATCAGCGTTGGACCAGTGAGGTAGAGTATCACCGTCGTCACGAGGGGGAATCTTTGAATTAACTTCGCGATACAGGAAGCTTTGGGTCATATCTGGCTCACCGGAGAGAACGCTACCGACTACAACTTGTTGCCCGAGATCAAGTCTTTCCGCGCCAGAAGCCGGTTCAGGCGCATCATCGAGAAGATCAAGCTCCAGGCACGTATCGAGAAGCTCAAGGCTATGGAAGAGGACCCGGAGAACTCGGATCTCTCAGCTATCTTCTCCGAGGTCGCCAGAGCAAAGCTCGCTGATGACAAGGAGGAGAAAGAAGTTCTCCGTGTCACTCAAGAGGTCGAAAAGGATGCCAAGCGTCGAAGTTTCCAGGCTTAACAAATCTATTGTGAATCCCAATCAATTGCAGAAAATTTCACACATATTGGACAGCATCACGGTGGGCGACCTTGGCACATCGCCGACATGGATGGCAGCCTGAGTCCTCACAAGATGCACGAAGAAAGGGCAATAACACGGATGGAAAAGACGGGTCGGACTTGGTCGCAAAGACTGATGCGGCGACTCCTTGGGTTGAAAGCGTTGTTATTTTGTTTCGGAAATATTCTTTGGGATTAAAAAAGGTGGGAATTGAATGCCTCCGATAAGTTATAACCCAAATGAGTTCCATGTTTTTCACTCAGATCATAGTGCAGAGTAGATAAATGCTCTATATTCGGTAGCCTCCCAGTGGACCAACAATCTTGTGTGATCTTCCCCTGACTTTTCCGTCATAATAAGCTAAAAAGATCCAGTCTTTGGTGTGCTAATACAAATGACCGTCGTTATTCGATCCCGAGCCACGCGTCAAGCGTATCATCTCTCCTCGTGATATCATTCAATCTCATAAGCATACATACATGATGAAAGGAGCATCCATCCACCTTCACTGTCATAAACATTGGGTCGACAAAGGTAACCCATTTAGCGACTGATATGAGTAGAGTTTAGTTGTTCATATCTGCCGAAGCACTCTCGCGAAGTTCGGCATACCGACGCGCGTCGAATCGCTTGCGTTCCCAGCCTTTCGCACGGAGTCGCTCTATCCGTGCCTGTAGCTCCGGTGAACGCATCTTGTCGGCGTTCGGCGTAGTGGACGCAGAAGTGACCGTCGTCACGGTGGCAGACAACGGAGGTATGTCTTCACACGGTGAGGTAGTGTGCTGTTGGCCGAGCTCTGCCTCGATGAAGTTGAGGTGTCGAAAGACTTGGCGCTGCAGGCTCGTTAAGAGGGCACTGTAGCGGTGGACAGAGCGAGCATGGCGGAAGGGGTCAAGCTCTGCGTCTGTAGAAGGGGAGGCCTCATTTTGTGCTGAACGTGGAGTGAGGATTGACCGAGGCACCTGAGTCAATGACCGCAGAGGTGCTGGTACAGGAGATGAACCTCCCCCAGAACTTTCTGGGGATGTTGAACGAGCAGGTCCTAAAAAGCTGCCTAGGCCAAGCGTTGGTGAGTCCGGACGTTCGAGAAGCTCCACGGGCACGTCGCTGAAAGTCACTCGCTTCTTCTTACGCTTAGAAGTGGGCACGCTTTGTATCGATGAGATCGATGATGCCGGAGATACACTGTGAGACGAGGTCCATGTTGACGATACATAGGAGCTCACAGAGCTATCGGCAGAGTGGAGGCTTGGCAATGTTGTAGTAGTGCCAGACGGTCTTCTCAGTAAAGCTGGACCAACGGTTGAGTCTGCAGCATTGATGAGCGTTGAGGCACGTTGATAATGGTCCCGAGCCTGGTTGAGTAGTGTGGTTCGCGCTGGGGCGGCTTGATGAAGTGCACGAGCAAGCATCTCTTGTGAGTTGGCTGCGTAAAAGTTAAGATATATCAGATATGCTGGCTCAACAATGCTCTGATTCTCATTAGAATTGTTTTACAATTGTTGATAAAAGATAACTTACGAAATCTTTGAGATTGTCCAGGATTTCACTGCAGCGGGTTGCACAGGGACGATAACGGCGGTTAAGATATTCTCTCTTGACATCCGAAATCACCTTCGCCCACTCTGTGGAAGTGTAAGGCAGAACGTGCAGAGTCTCTGACAGAGCCTGGGGAAGCCATTCCGGTGAGTTAGTCTCTGTGACTGAAGCACGGCATGTCTCCATCCGTGGCGACATGGATAGTGATGAGGTTCGTGAAGGCCAAGACGACGAAGTGGCTGTATGAATTGGTTGAGGCAGCAAAACAGCCATGGCGACAAGTGATATTCTTCAGTCAAGGTAGCCCGAAGGCTCGTGTCTGGAGCTATGGTCGTGGTCTAGAGGCAGAATGGATGGGGGGGCGGTTCTGGGGGCGTTACAATATAAGAGTCCGGACTGAGAGCGGCGGCGCGCGTGGCGTGGCCAAGGTTTGTGTGGCCAATATGCCAATATTATGTTGCCAAAATGATGCCTTATCAGCTCAGCTCCTCGGGGTCAGTCTCATGAGTGTGTGCGAACTGGGGCCCAAGGTATGGCAGAGTGACGTGAAAGTGTCTTTTATGGTCTCCCCTGGCAGGTAGGGGCAAAGAGAGACAATTCTGAGTCGTCCCGTAAATTGATTGGTAAGACAACGAAGGTATCGAGAAAATAGTTCCGTGAAACGAGGTGTAAGTGGGAGCCCCAGTGTTGTAAGAGCTGCACAGGGAATTCTTGACAACTCGTCGAGATATCAAAGACAAATATCAAAGCCTCTGAGGCCGATCGAGGAGTACCTTCACGTTAGAAGACGAAAACAAGTCGAAAAATACTGAAAACCGTGCGATGATGGTGGTTGAGGGTAGTTAAGAGATGGACTGGAATTCAAGATATCCAAAAGCGGTTGGTGTTGAGCATATAAGCGCCACATCGATGAACCATCTAGCCAGTGCCAAAGTTGTCCAGGTGACAAGCACAAATCAAATATTATAGCGTCGATACCACTCCGTCGTCGGGAATACCGATCTCTGGGCAATGAAGATCATTGCTGGGCTGGGTCTCGTCCTTTGTGTCAGCGGCGCCGAGCTCTTCGCTGGTTGCCAGGCGGTTTCGAAATAGTTCTGAGAACGATGATGCCGTTGAGTCGTTTTTGGCCAGACACTACGAAAGATCGAGGTCCCGGCAGAGGGCCAATAGTATGGCATCAAAGAACAAAGGGTAGCAAAATCGGCTCAAAGTGGACGTGACGGCCAAGAGTGTCTGTCATACGTCGGTCCTCGGGCCAACAGACACTAACACAGATAGATATAAGCACCACTCGGTATGGACTCACATAGCACACACGATCCGGGGATGACAGGTTCAACCTCAATATCAGCCCTCGCCATTTTTTGAAGACAGGGACTGATCTTGTTCTTGAGACCCTATTCAGCTACTCGTGTATTGGGCCATCCCCTGCCTGCATGGTTCCTGTCCAGCTGCATTGCACCCACCACTACCACTCCAAGGGTCTTTCCGTACTCTTATTTCCTATCCCCACAGTACTACTGAGCAATGAGAAAAACTCAGCAAGAAGAGCAGAGTGGTCCCACGCTCTTGTGAGAATCAATCAAGCCAAACTGGGGATGGAGGTGCCGCGCCGGCTGCACGAGCCTCAGACCCTTCCGTGGTCCAGCCCAGGGGACCCACCGGGCCGTCTCTTGTCGTGCCGTCCTCACTCCCTCTCTAGTAGTCTTAGTTGGGCTGATGGGTTGGCCAAGAAAAGAAACCCATCTTCAAAGAAGCACCATGCTACTCCATAGACGGCACAGGTGGAAAATGTGATGTAAAGAGGGGGATATGAATGAAACATCCACACAACAGAACAAAATGCACACTGTCGAACTGCGCTTGCAGTCACTCGATTCGGCTTTGTCGGCCTTGTGGCGTGAACGACAAACGCCAGTGTCTCGGTTCCAGTAGGTCGGGATCCTGAGGCCGTCTAAACGGGCACTTGAACCAAACCTCAGAGTTCCCCTTCCGACGCAGGGGTGGTCATCAGGTAGCAGCAGAAACTTAGAGCCCCCTCCCGACTTGATTGACGATAGTTGCGACTTCGGGTTGGCCTGATGCAATGGTCACTTGCGGATGCGGCTATTGATCCGCCACATCCTGGGTGCGTACGACCCGGTACCTGCGTCTCTGGTAATAAGACTTCCTCGGCTTGTGCCCTTATGGTACGTAGTCTCTCCAGTCCTGTGTTCGTCTTTGTTTCAACTTCGGGGTCGCCATCCAAGCCCCTCTGCTCGAGAACGTCGGCTGGAGCCGTAAGCGGGGAGAGATTGGTCGCGGCCTGACGTCCAGTTTATTCCGTAAATGGAGGATTACCTCTTTGCTCACAAGACGTGCGCAGTCTCCATTGTTGCTCGTTCGTGGTAACGTCCTCAAAAGCCCCAGCGTTGGAGGCTGGATGCTTTTCAACAGATAGGTAGTAGAACCCTAGAGCACCGCCGTGTCGATCGGAAGCGTACTGTTGTCATAGTGTTTGTTGTAGAGAGGAACAAACGTGGCTGCGCTAGGCAAAGGGGAAACAGAAAGAGAAAAACAGGCGACTACGATTGGCTTCACGGAACAACGTGTTTCCCCAACTTTGATACCCATGATTGACAATAAGTGGAATCATCCATTCATGTGAACAGTGACTTTGTGAGATGATCGTCCTTTCTATTAAGACTCGACGCCACGGCCATCGTTTTTAACTGTTTTATTGAGGTTCGTCACAAAGAACTCATACTGTCGAACTGCTGTGAGCTGGCTCTTCCGTCCCTGGAGTCGCCTCGACTGCTGCTGGTGTGGTTTCAGGGTTGGCATCCTCAACTTCTTTCTCTGCATTCTTTACCTCATCGCCCTTGATACCATGGACAACCCTCAGGCCCTCGGCTTGTCTGGTCATCTCGTCAAGCTCTCGCTTGCGCTGAAGCCGAACCTTGATCTCCTTGGCCATGTCGGACATGCTGACAAGAATACCCTCCTTCTCGGGATGGCCTTCTTGGAGTCCCATCTCCTTAATCTTGACATTGCCTGCCTTGACTTCGTCTTCGCCAAGGAAGATAGCAAATGGCACACCATTGGCCTCGGCGGCCTTGAATTGTGCGGGCAGCTTAGGCTTAACTTTGTAAAGAAACTCTGCCTGTGACAGATAGCACAGTTAGTCCTCTGTTCCGTGGAACAGTAAGGTTCGTGGGGAAAGTCAACTAACCTTGATTCCAGACTCCCATAGCTTAGCGCACACTGACATACGTTCTTTCAGATATCCCTGACCAAAGGCCATGACATAAACATCGACATCATTGTTACGCACAGCAGCATTCTTCTCAGCGGCCATCTTGGCCTTGGTGATAGAGAAAATCCTGTCGACGCCAAAGGAGATACCGACGCAGGGGATTTGGCTCTTGCCAGAGAACATGCCAACAAGGTTGTCGTACCGGCCACCGGCAGCCACACTTCCTACGCCGACCGTGGGGTCATCGGAACGGTCGTCATCCTCAGAGCCCTTCTTACCCTTCTTCTTGGAAGGCTTAGACTCAGCATTCTCCTGCCCAGGTGTGACCTCAGGAGCAGAGCCCTGGGTGACGACCTCGTAGATAAGTCCGGTGTAATAGTCGAGGCCTCGAGCCAAGCTGAGGTCAAAAGAAACTCGATCCAGGCAATCGAAGGCCTCTAGATACTCAAACAGCAGAGCAAGATCTTCCATTCCCTTCTTCATGGATTCGTTTGCGGCCAAGCTCTCTGTGCTCTGAAGCTTCTGCAGCAGATCCTGCTTGCCCTTGAGAACAACCCACTCTCCGATTCGGTCAGCGACATCGCCGTCAAGTCCCTTTTCCTCGGTCATCTCCTTTCGCACATCAGCCCAAGGCAGCTTGTCGAGCTTGTCGACGGCCGAGGAAATGGTGCGGATCTTGTCCTCGGGGACTCCACAGACTTGGAAAATACCGTCCAGAATCTTTCGGTGATTTAGCTTGATCGTGTATCCACCGTTCCAACCAAGTCCCTCAAATACTTCCGTGATGATGCGGATGACTTCGGCGTCGGGCAGCATGGGGTCGTAGGTGCCGGCAATGTCGAAATCGCACTGGTAGAATTCTCGCATGCGACCTTTGGTCATGGCAGGTTGGTCTCGGCGGTAGACCTTGGCGATGTGATATCTCTTGATGTTTTGAATCTGCTTGTTCATGGCTAGGAAGCGGGCGAAAGGGACTGTCAAGTCATATCGCAGAGAGCAGATCTCACCACCTTGATCAGCAAGGTCATAGATGAGCTTGCTGTCCTCTCCATATTTTCCAGCGAGGATCTCTCGGAGCTCAAAGACGGGGGTATCGATCGTGACTCCGCCGTGGCGCTTGAAGACTTGGGTGATGGTGTTGAAGATGTGGTCACGAATAACCATATCCTTCCCCTCCCCTTGGATGGTGTTAAGGAATGGCCTCTGCGGTACGATTGATTCGATCACTTACAGTCCTTTGTACCCTTGGGGGTCTTGAGCTCGAATTTATTCTTGGGCGCCATTTCGAGTGATGTGGGAGACTCTAGAGTGGTGGTGGTGGAAGAAGAGGAAGAGGAAGAAGCGTAGCGGGGCAGGGAAAAGACTGTGATGGAGGGGTCGAGGCTGAGGAACCTTGAATGACGATACCTCCGAGTAAGAGCAAGACAGGAAGGCGCAGGTGTGGACGACAGTGGTCTTGCCGTAATGCGGCTCAGGCAAAGGGATTTGATTGGGGCTGGTTTTGGCCTCATCTCCCTATCATTCGATGCGAGGACGCGACGGCCTCAGAGGAAATTGAAGCTTTGGAATTCACCACAAAATTTGAGGCCGATGCTCATCATGCGAGCGGCGGGACGGGGATGCCTACCTAGGTAACTAAGCGTCACACTTTGGATACTGACAGCAAGTCAATCGCGCATAAAACCTTTCCAGCGGGAGAAGCAATCGACCATTGTAGCCTAGGCTGTCTAGGTACCTAGCCCAAGAGAACTAGTTGGTGGGGCATATGGGGAGCCTACACTGCACTAATTGGCCCCGATTTACCAGTATTATCAGATCCAATACCTACCGACCTTGTGGTCTGAAAGAATAGATGACTGCGAAGTGTAAGAAAGCTTGGAGAGGAGAGGAGAGGATCTCGTATATTTACTTATACGGAGAAGAGACGATACGTATTATATCAACACAAGTTCGAGGTTTGTTATATACCTAGGGCACTGACTTCAGCGTGAAGATATCTAGACGTACAGGGTAAGCATATACTTTATGCTTTATACTTTATTAAATATAGAGGTGTCAAAACGATCCAGAACTTGAGGGAAGTTTAACTTAGAGTATTTATAGAAATTGAAAAGGCTTATGCGCTTATGGATAATCGTTGTGCGAAGTAACAAGGAGTTCAACAAACCAAGCAACGCTATAATTATAAGTCTTAACCCACAGAGCCACCCGATACTATCAGCATAGTTGCTCATTACAGGAAGTACTAAAAGACATTTACACAGAAAATGATCACAAGAGCTAGATATGTATAATATATAGATCCAATTGCTATTGTTGTTTTATTAGATCGTAGTCACGTTATAGAGTTAGTAGCCATCTATCTTTCGCCTTTTATCGTTGAGAAGGTGAAGGTACTTAACACTTGGATATATTTGTGAGGATGTTAGAAACTCATTATGTTGACAGAAGTGATCTTACTACCTAGGTATTCATACTTGTTTAATGCGACAATCCGGCACACAGGATAATTGAGAAACGGGACATCAGCCTCATCCCATGCTTCCTGAGATTACGGGACGCTCGCTGAAGTACATACGCGTCAGATTTAAAGTCCCGTTATCCTTCCGTGGACCCCACGCCCCAGAAATGGTACGCGAGCGGCGAGTGCTGTGACAGGATCTGGCATACACACCACCAACTCATATTGGATCGGAATCTTGATTCGATCCGAACCCGAAGAGCTTACCCGAAGCGAGGATGGAAATTAGGGACCAGTATCATATCAAGCTGGTGCTATTGGCTGGGCCAATCTTACCTTAAGGAACACATACATAGTAACTACTTAACAGGACAGGACAGTTCACCAAGTCCATGACGGGCTCCCAGGCAGAAAGACGACTTTGTACAGCACTAGTCTCCTGAATATAGGTATAGTTGATAGGCAAGGTATGTAGTTCATTGTCAGCGGTTAATCAAGCTTATTTGGGAAGATTTCTTGCGTCCCTACGGATACTTAATTAGTTGCATCCTATCATACAGCTCCATACATGTACGCGTACTCGGTCCCTCTTCACAGGCCCTGAGTCAAAACATGGTCTGTGGTGACCAAGCCATTAGCATGCTGACAGACAGGGATTGGCTGATGAGGAGTGTTCAAAAGATCGAATCCAGTCTCAAATATAGATCTGGAAGAATACACTCGTTTTTCCTGCGTCGTTGATCGCCACAGGCACCTGTCACGTCAAGAATCACCAGTTTTTTACTCCATACTTCAATGCCTGCTGGTCTCGTATCTCGTATCAACGACTTCCCAATACGGTAATATACTAACTGAACAAGTCTGGGCTGTAACAACTATACTCACAGCCTCCCTACCCAGTATCAAGTACATCAGTTGATGTCTGCCTATAGCAGCCAACCATCGATTCCTCTTCTTCATCTACACAGATTACTCTTTTAGCCAATGCGCGACTTTGAGAGCTCCTCTGATTTCCATGAATGTCCTCATTGGAATATTGAATCTGCTGTCCACGACCCCATACGTGAAGGTGTCTAAGTTTCGTCGACATCATGGCTGTTGATCATCATGACAAAATCGAAAAGTCTGCCAACTCTCCTTCTTCGGAGCCTCAAGGCCCATTAACAAATGCTGCCAAAGAAGACGAGTTGCAAGCCAAGGCAAAAGCCCGACCTGAGCGGACAGCAAACTTCAAAGATTACCTGGTGAGTAACCCCCTGAGGGCGCATTGTATCAGTGACACTCTTAACATTAGTAACTTGTAGCGGATATTCTCCTACGCAACAAAATGGGATTTCTTTGCGTATGCTGCAGGCTTCTTTGCAAGCATTGGAGCAGGGATTGTAAGTTGCCCCAAAACTCGGTATCAAGACAAGATCATTAGCTAACACGTCTTTTAGACGCTGCCATTGATGAATGTAGTTTTTGGTAAACGCATTTACGACTCCTACCTCTGAGTCTGTTCCTGACGACACCACTAGGGCAATTCGTTGGCAACTTTACAGAATACTTTATGCCAGGCAGCACAACATCGCAAAGTGAATTCAACAAAAGCATTGATAAGTTGGCGTTGTACATGTTCGCCCTGTTTCTGGGTCGTTTCGTGCTCAACTCTATCAACAAGGTACCTATGATCGATCAACTGACTCTTCATCCAAGCACTCGGCCTGATCTGACCACCTCTAGTTCGTCTTCCGCATGATAGGCATCAGGCTATCATCCGCCATCAGACTTCACTACCTGCAAAGACTATTCGGTCAATCTATCCATGTCCTCGACTCAATGCCTCCAGGCTATGCCACAGGCACCATCACATCTACAGCCAATGTCCTGCAGCTAGGCATATCAGAAAAACTTGGCACTTTTGTTGAATATAACTCAACCATTGTGGCTGCGATTATTGTAGCGTTCGTTAAGAATTGGTCCCTGACTCTAGTCACTTCTTCAATCATCCTATACCTTTTCCTTGTCTTGGGCATATTTCTGCCCATGATACTCAAGGTTAATGCGCTCATCACAAAGGTTGCAACACCCTTGCCCTTCGAAAACCTCGATGCTGACCAAGAATTAGGCAGAGGGCAGAGCTGGTGCGGTTGCCAGCGAAGCTTTGGCGAGCGTCAAAATGGTGGCCGCGTGCGGTGCAGAATCACGAATTTCCAGACGATACGGCCAGTTCGTCGAGGAAACCCGCCAACATGGTAAACTTCTCTCTCCCCTCATTGGCGGACAACTCGGTTTGGTAGTAAGTAGCCAAGATGGTGACTGAACTTCAAGCTGCTGACATGCGTAGTTTTTCGGGCTATATGCTGGCTTCGCACTTTGTTTTTGGTTTGGTGCAAAGTCGTACTCTGAGGGAAGATTGGACAGCGTGGGAGATGTCCTTGTGTGAGTCCGTCTATATGGTAAACGATAATGTGCTGATAGATCTAGCGTATTGCTCTCTGTTATGATTGTCGTACTTTCCCTCGAACGAACATCTACGCCGCTACTAGCTGTTGGAAAAGCCACCGTGGCAGCCTGCGAATTCTTTGTTGTTATCGACGCTCCGCAGCCTGCCAAGGGTACTTTGAAGGATCCCCAAGTCTCTCCGACACAGGATATCATTTTCGAGGATGTTACCTTTGCTTACCCTAGCCGGCCTCATGTCAAGGTGCTAGATGGCCTAGACTTGCGTATAGAGGCTGGAAAAATCAATGCGATTGTCGGGCCGTCCGGGGGAGGCAAATCGACCATTGTTGGGCTCATCCAGAGATGGTATACCTTACAGGATCAACACGTTCTTGCCAAGGTCATTGAGAAAGAGAAAAAAGGGGGTCGCAAGAACAAGAAAGAGGAGAGTGATGAGGATGTTGACGCAGAAAACGTGGTTGACAACGAGCCTGAAGAACCAGGACTTCTCGTCGAAGTCCACGGGCGAATCTTGACAGCAGGCCAATTATTGGACGACATCGATTTGAAGTGGTGGAGGTCCCAGATAGGTCTCGTCTCGCAGGAGCCATTTCTATTCAACGATACGATCTATAAGAATGTTGCCTATGGTCTGATCGGAAGTCCATGGGAAAATGAGGCCGAGGACAAGAAGAGAGAACTTGTTAGGGAGGCTTGTCGAGAATCATTCGCCGATGAGTTCATTGATCGACTGCCAGATGTAAGTTGTGACAAAACCTTTGCGAAAACCCATCAAGGCTAACACGTGCAAGGGGTTGGACACGCTCGTTGGCGATAGTGGTGCCAAACTCTCCGGTGGACAGAGACAGAGGTTGGCTATTGCACGATCTATCGTGCGAAAACCAAGTATACTTATACTGGATGAGGCCACGAGTGCTATCGACGTCCGTGGAGAGAGGATTGTTCAAGCGGCCCTTGACAGAGCTGCGAAAGACCGGACCACTATAACGATAGCCCATCGACTGTCAACCATTAAGAAAGCAGACCGTATCATCGTCTTGAAGAAGGGCAAAGTCGCTGAATCAGGTACACATGACAGTCTCATGACGATAGAGGGCGGAGTCTACTCAGGGCTTGTGCGTGCACAATCCCTATCGCTTGGAGAACCCACAGATGCAGGAGATGAGTCGGCTGAAACTGAGGACAAGCCCGTCCTGGCCAGCGTGACGAGCGTTACAGCTTCCGAGGTCGGCACGTCGACGGAGGCTCCTAAAGACAAGGCACGGAACTTCTTTGCAAGCTTTGGTCGACTGTTCTACGAGTCAAAGAATGTGTGGCCAGCGTTTTTTCTGACTCTATTTGCCGGTGCCTGTGTGGGAGCTGGAGTACCATTACAGGCATGGATTTTTGGGAAGATCATTGTTTCTTTCAACGACATAGGGACTGACTCGAACCTATCCGGGAGCAACTTCTGGTCACTCATGTTCGTCGTCCTGGCTTCAGGAATCGGAATCAGCTACTTTGTAGTTGTCTTCATCGCCACTCGGATGTCATCTACGATACGCGTGAAATACCAGAAGCAGTATTTTGATGCGGTAATGTTTCAGAAAACATCATTTTTTGACCATGAAGACCACTCTCATGGAACAATAACGTCCCGACTTGGCCAGGACCCCAAGCAACTTGAAGAGTTGATGGGACTGAACATGGCCAGTGTCTTTGTCGCTCTCTTCAACGTGGTTGGGGCAATATCGATTGCGTTCGCTTTCGCATGGAAACTGGCTCTCGTCTCATGCTGTGTCGTGTTACCCATAATGATCGTTTCAGCGTACTGGCGCTTCAAATACGAGCTGGCATTCGAGAAGATGAACAATGATGTCTTTGCAGAGAGCTCAAAGTTTGCATCTGAGTCAATAGGAGCATTTAGAACGGTTACTTCGTTGACACTGGAAGATTCGATTTGCCTCCGATATCAGAACTTACTCAACGAACACGTGGTATCAGCATACAGAAAAGCCAGATGGGTGAGCATACTCTTTGGTTTCTCTGATAGTGCGAGCATGGCATGCCAAGCTCTGAACTTCTGGTGGGGGGGCCGTCTTTTGTCAAGACATGAAATCGGTCTAGTTGCTTTTTTCGTCTGCTTCAGTAAGTGAACTTTATGACTTTCTGTATTCGAGTAGCGCAGATGGAGACCCAAACGCTTCTGACCCTTACTTACGTCTCACAGTGGCCATTACAAATGGAAGCGAGGCAGCCGGGCAAGCCCTTGGCTTTGGTCCAAACAGTGCGATGGCTTCTGCAGCTGCGAATCGTATTCTAAACATGAGAGAGAGCAGACCACGAGACAAGGTCTCTACCTCGCAGGAGATCCCAGATACAGATGGTGGAATGTCGATTGAGCTGGACAATATCGCCTTCAAGTACCCGACCAGGAGCACACCCGTATTCAAAGGATTGAGCCTGAAGATTGAGAAGGGACAGTTTGCTGGCCTCGTAGGCGCCTCAGGCTCAGGAAAGTCATCGATCATTTCGTTACTTGAAAGGTAAGTTGCTCGACACGACATGCTTTTACATTGTACCGTGGCTGAGGAAACAGATTTTACGACTTGGACAAGGGCCGGCTCCTCCTAAATGGCAAGGATGCTACCGACATCAACCTGTACGAATACCGAAAGTACTTTTCTCTCGTGGCCCAAGAAGCCACCCTCTTCCAAGGCACCATCAAGGAGAATATCTTACTTGGAGTCGACCCCTCAGCAATCACCGACGAGCAACTACACCAAGCGTGCCGTGATGCGTCGATCCACGATTTTGTCGTCTCATTACCAGAGGGCTACAATACAAACATTGGATCACGTGGTGTATCGCTTTCAGGTGGTCAGAAGCAGCGCGTGGCGATTGCTCGCGCTCTGATTCGCGACCCAAAAGTCCTACTTCTCGATGAAGCTACGAGCTCCCTTGATTCGGAGAGCGAAAAGCTTGTCCAGTCGGCATTCGAAAGAGCTAGTGAAGGACGCACGATGCTCGTGGTAGCACATCGACTGGCCACAGTGCAGAATGCTGATGTGATCTTTGTCCTGGGAGATGGCCAATTATTGGAACAAGGATGTCATGCAGAGTTACTGAAGAGGCGGGGCGTCTACTGGAACATGGTGAGTACATATTCTTGCTCGGCGACTGAGATGGATGGCGGGAGTGTGCTAATTGAATATAGTGTCAAAGTCAAGCCTTAGATCGTTAAGAATGGAAGCGAGTGCACAATGAAACTACCCAATCGCTCTCTACTCTATGTTCTATCCTGGAAAAATAAAGGGCATGGATATAACAAACTCCTGAACTCAACTCCCTGCTCTCGCACCTTGTGTAAATGTCTGGAGCCCTGTTGTAGATGACATCAAACAGAGATACAATAAAACACGACCATCTTCACACCTTGTTAGTATTGAACATGTCGTCAATCTCGCTAAGGATGTCTCCCGCATGCGTCATAACGAAATCATGGCTCCCTGGGAGAATTCGCCAGCGGACATGGTGCTCACCGCCAACGAGGGATAGTGCATCCCGGCGATAGGACTCGGTATCAATAATCTCGTCAGATCTAGCTAGTAAAATAGCTGTAGTGCCAGGAGCACGCTTGGACAACTTGGCCCAGGCCTCATGCTGATCGGTCAGGGGTGCAAAGCGAATGCTCGACATGAACGCGGGGACGAAGCCACTGTGATGGGTGACCATCCAGCGCACATACTCCATGACACGTTGCTCCAACGGCGTAACGGCCTCACCGGACACTGGGAGCACCTCTGCCTCGGCAACATTGAGTGGTGGCGTAGTGACAGCCTCTATGGGCGTCTTGGGAGGTGGCTTGGCTGAAGCGGCGATAGGCTTTTGAAGACGACTGCGTGTAGCGAAGGCCAGAATGCGCTCTGGGACGAGGCCAGAGACGAAGAGGAATCGAGAGACGCGGCCAAAGGAGGCGGCGCGGATTAAACCTGCAGGCGCGAGGAGCACGAGATCGCGCACGAGGTTAGGAAACGCATTGGCAAAATGAACTGCGATGCCACCGCCGAGAGAATAGCCAACAAGGCGAAAGGCGCCTGTACCGGTCCATGCAAGAGGGCTAGAAGCCAAGACAAGCAGCATTTGGGAGACGTAGAGACGGGCATCGTGTGGAATATCAGCGACACCATCGGAGAAACCACGCCCAAAGAGATCCTCAAGAGACATTAGTCAAGCTGGAGAGCCCGAGTAGGTAGCAAGAAGCTTACAAAGAGCATCACACGATATCCGCGTTTGACGAGCCCAAGAGCTATAGGCCCGAGAGTGATGCAGGGTGTGCTGATGCCGTGCACAAAGAAGACCTTTTCACCATTCTCAGGGCCAAACTCGTAAATACGAATGCTTCCGTACTATGTCTGTGGTCAACATACTGGCAGTTCTTTCTGGGCATCAGGCCGTGAGATAGTGGCTTACTGGGGTTTCTACATCTCGAGCGCCAGGAAACTGATCAGGTTGATAAACAAGATTCTTCAACTTATCAGCATTGGCCTTGTCGTACACGCCCGCCTTGAGCGGATTGCGAATGGTTTTCGGGCGCACGGGGTAGAGAAGTGCGCGGGCGATAGCGAGAAAGGCAACAGTTGAGAGAACAGTCGTTGTGACCACGAGGGCCGTTGGCGTATCTTGAGGAGACATATTTGTGGGATACTGGATGGTGAGAAGAGCTAACGTTAGAAGCTGATGGGCTGACTGGTGAAGAGAAAGGGTGAACACTTGTTCAGCCACTTTGTGAGATTACCTCCGCTAGGTCTGTATGTGTAGGTAGGTTGGTAAGGTGTGTAGCACGCCTGAGTCAACGGTGCAGCCACAGTGATAAAGCGGAAATGCTCAGCGCATGACGGCTCCTTTTGCTTTTTTGAAAAGATAACCCGCGATCGACAGGGACAAGAAATAGAATGAAAGATACTGTATGTAGTATTGTATCCGTACATACAAAAAGGCTTCCAGCTTTGCAGGTCTGAGGGATAAGGTCACGTCACCACACGGACGGGCTTTTCCACTGACTAGTCGCCCGAGCTGAGAGCTACTTGCCTACCTACTATAACTAGCCCCCGGCCGGCTGAGCCGGAGGTTAAAAATACCCACCTTAAGTACCGACAAACCCTCTATTATTATATCTACTATGTGAGGATCTATCGCTACTTCATTGGATAATAATAGTGCCCGATATTTTTGCCTATAAAGTTACCACAAGCTAAAACAATCATAGTTTTGGTTACCTCTCCCAGTAAGGTTGCTTTATATCGTATTCCATAGTAAAGCGTGAGCGTTTCTGATTAGACAGTTTGTCAGTTGTGGCAGCCATTTCTAGATGGACATCGCCGAACAAGGTACTGCGTATATAGTGTTCACGCTTGTTTGTTTGTTTGTTTGTGAGTAGGGAGTCATGCCTTCATTTGGATGTTTAGGCTCCGGTTCATCGCTGTTAGACAACTGGCTGGACTCTATAAAGTCGCTAGCGTTCATATCTTCATGCTCAACACCGGTTATCTAGTGGCCATGGCTCAGGCTGACTATATTGAACAGGGTTGAATGAAGCTCTATAAATGCGGGACGTACCTTGACCAGCTCAAAGGACATGACTGACATTCTCTACTCGCTTTAGATCCTGTCTTTTGCTACTGCTGAGGAGTTTTACCTACCTGGTTCTTGTTCAATCTTCTCCAATCTTATTTATGAGCTTAATGTACTATAGGTACCTTAGGTATGCGGGTATTATTAACTTCGTTTTGGCCCCAGACCAAGAATGCATAACAACTTTTCATCCTACTATACACACATCATATCATGATAATCCCAAGCTCCCTAGCCCAATCCCACTGCCCAAGCAACATTTCCCAGTTGCCGTATCAAAATGCTTAGGTTTTCCACAATCGCTGGAGCCATTTTATTCGCACCACCGAAGTTGGCTAGGAGTATATCATGAACAGCCTCCATGGTCGTCTTTGGATTCTCAACTGATGCCTCAGTTGCCCCATTGCGTTGGTTCGGTCCTCGAATGACTGGCACGCCTTGTCCCATAGTGATGTACTGCTGCACGCTCATCGCTTCCGGGCCGTCGATGTAGACTTTTTCATGCTGAGAAGACATATCCTGCTGGCTCCCGGCTTTTGTTATCACCCCGTAAGTCCACAAGGCCAGTGCCGCATGATGTACACCGACGGCGTAAAAGTTTTTCAATTGAGCGGGAGGGAAGAGCTTGGCAAATCGAAGAACTTGGCCGGCGTGCCATATAGCTGCCCGAGAGTCCACACTTTCGACCCATTGCTGGAGCACAGGAAATGTCCGATGTGCCTGTTCATCCCCCTCTTTTCCTGCGAAGAGCTGCAAGTCATCCATAGATATATGCAAGGCCATCATGAGCTGATTGAGCAACAGGCGTTCTTGGGCTGTGACCTCGGGCCAGTTCGTGGTTGTGGTTTTCAAAGTCTGCAGGTCCTGGAGCAGTTGGTGGCGTCGTGCAGCTAGCAATGAACTGGAGCCCTCATATGTGTCTTGGATATAAGAGCGTGTTCTGCAAGACGAGCAAAGATTTCTATACTCTAGGATCAGGAGCCAAAAGGCCTGAAGATAGATTGCTGCTGAAAGTTGTACATCCAAACGATGTCGATTCTCTGGGAGGAGGTTCAGATCGCGGAATAGATCACCAACTGACGGCGCTCGTTTCATGTGTCCAGCCTCTCGTCTCAAGTATGCGTCCTTCCAATCCTTTGCTGTCTTTGCGCACCACAATTCCTTGGACGCAGGTAAAGGGAGGGTGAGTTCAGCGTATGACATGACGGGGTTCGTCAGAGCTGTCATGGACTGTTGGCTATCTCGAAGGAAAAGATGGAACACAAAACTGGCGTGGTCAGCATGGATAATCGATAGAAAGGAGAAGAGGGGAAAAGAAAAGAATGTCGCAAATACTTACCGTTTCCACTTCTCCATCTCGACCCATGTCCGCCACTTTTGCTCGAGATTCGCACCCTCATCCGCCGGCGTTACTGAAAGCATCGGATATGAAGACCTCTGGAACTTGCCACGATATCGCATCATCGTCACGGGGATGTTGACGTGGCACTCTGCAATTTCCATCTTCCGTCGATTGCCGCTCCAAAGACCTGTGTCTTGACCCAGAACAATAGCCTGGATGAGGCCCATGTTGAGGATCTCTTTGTTGTTTTCTTCAAAACGCCTGGGCATAACAATTCCTATTTCGAGATTAGGGACAAGAAGAACTTTCGAACTGGTGATACATACGGATGGACTCCTGCAGAGCATACCCGAATTTTCGCAGAGTCGGTACGGGGATCAACACAGCACCAGCAGCTGCCGCTCCCGCAATCCATTCTGGCTCTTGCTCGTTGAGCTTGAAGGTAGGGAAATGTATATAATCCGAGACCTGGTTGGTATGCGAGTTGAGAAATACATGCAGCATGGTGTCCAAAAGATCTGCCGAAGGAAAGGACCCTGAGATGCGGCTCGACATCGTATCAGGTTGACAGGCCCCCAAGACTAGTGCTAGTACGCCATCACGAGCGGCGAAATCGAGCTTTTGGTCAACGATCCTTCGAAAACTCCCCCTCGAAGCCTGGGCCTGTATACTAGCCACATCTCTTTTCGAAACTGGCAGATTTCCCTGTTCGCCGAAGGCGTTGTCATTTGCTACTGGGTCCCATCGCCATGGAGACACATCCCAGGCTGTGACAAGATTCTGCCGCATATGGTCCATGTCGACGGGACTCTTGGGCGTCTCTTGCTGTACTGGGGCCGAGCTAGCCATCCCGTCTGTGTTCCAATGATCCAGCAGCCCAAAGTCCATGTCTGATAGTTCCATGTTACTATCATTACAAAAGTTCAGCACTGCGAGACCTTGATTTTCTGGGATCCTGGCTGACTGGTCGTACTGCTGTTCGTACAAGACATCCCGAAGAAAGTCACAAAAGGGAAGCTGGTCTGCCCCGGCTTGGCTGGAAGATCCAGCCTCTGAGCTGGGTGGTAGATCCCCGGTGTTTGGGGTTGCTGACCGAGAGTGCGCATGGAAGTGAGTATTCTGACTATACAGCGATGGTTGATCGGTAGGGTAAGAAGTCGTGTTAGGAAAGCTGGTGGGGGCGTATTCCGCGGAAGCGTTGCTACTGTCGTGTTCATCATCAACAGGTGTTTTGGCACGAGCACTAGCAGACAAGTGAACTAGGTTCATGGCTGCAGACGAGCTTGCCTCTGACGAGACGCAGGTCAGGCCGCGACGAACGCATCGTTGACAGGGCTTCTCCTCCTGACACTTGACCCTTGCGGTGGCACAAGCCTTGCAGGCATGGGTAACCCTACCGGTGTTGAGAGAAGTCGTACGCCTGCGTTTCTTGGTGTCGTCGTTCTCATGGTTGGTCTCATGGCGCTTCTTGAGATCAGCACGCGCAAATGTCTTTCCACAAATCGAACAGGCAAATCTACGGCCCAAAGTATGAGTCTGAACATGGCGCTGAAGATGCTCCGGTCTCGAGTAACGTCGTCCACAGTGACCACAGGCGTAAAGTGCAAGCCCTTTCTCTGGCTTCGCTAGTGAAGAAGCGCCGCCAGCCGAATCTCCTGAGGACGGCACCGGTACAGGAGGGGGAGGATATGATTGAGATGCAGGATAGACTGAGGCTGAATCTGAACGTGAAGGATCAATGTTCTGAGAAAGATTCGAGGACGAGGGCGAAGGGCCAGCCATTGCGCAACTCGTTTGAACGGATACCTTGGGTAGTAGGTAGCAAGCAGGCTTTACTCAGCCCGCAACGGTGCTTAATTTGACATTGAAGAGGAGATGTATAACGAATGAGAGTGACCCCACCCAAGAAGGAGGAGAAGAAGAAGAAGAAGAGAAAGTGAAGAGAAAGAAAACAGTGTACAACAATGTGAGGGATTGAGATATGGATGCGGGTGGTAGGTAGTAGGTAGCAATCAATGCTGTAGGGCTGGAAGCGGAATTAATGTGACGGGTATAGTGACGGATAATAAATTAGCAGGAACTTGAAGCAGGAAACAAATGATTGGCCGTGGGATTTAAAGAGTGTAAAAAGCTTTTAAAGAAAGGTGCAAAGTGCAAGGATCAGTGACATGGAGCCTAGACCAACAAGACCGACTTGTTTTTTTCTTCTTCTTTATTAAGTTGTCATGGACCCATCCATTAATTGCTAAAAGTCAAAGGTAAAATGTACAGCTTTTGATGGGGAATGCCTTCATGATATGATTGGGCCTGCAGGATCTAAGCTGAGAGGTCTAGTCCCTTTTCTGGCCAAACTCCGGGTCAAACAGCCTACAGTACCGCGTCAGATAAGTCAAAGCTCTAAAACGCTATCATGGCCTGCTAGTAGTTATATCGAAACTTGGGCTACGTCCGATGTCGTCGTCAGCATATGTCGACTGGCCAGGGTCTGGTATGGGGATGGGATATTCCGCAACTGGCCAAGAAGCTGAGTGCATACGTACTCTGCTCCATATTCAAGGGAGCCATCGTGAAACTATTACGTCTTGTTCTAGCTGCGTACGTCTTCCTCTCTATCTAATCCTGCGCTAGACAGTCAGACACAGACCCTTATCTGATCGCGAGGTTGAAAAAAGATTCGCCATGGTCCATCCTTCGTCTGAAACACCAACGCTAACTATTCACCTGAAGCCGACTCAGCCGTGCCAAGACCGCTCCTAATATCATGAGCCTTCTCATCCTGTCCTGGACCTGCATACACACAAGCCCGTCAATGTGTGATGGCGTCAACTGCCCGAGTTCTATTGGTGTAAAATAGATCGACCCCAATGAGACGCGAATGCCTCATTTATCTGTCCACGTAATGCACGTAGTAGCGGCGTATGCCGCTCTCCTGCTTGAGAAAAGAGGTCTCATGATGCTTGCATTCGACTATTTTAGAGGTGATACTGGTTTAAAAAAAAAAAACATATCAAGTCGTTGTTTGACCTTGCTTTCATTGGCCTGTTTGCTCAACACCAGCCCCCTTTATTCGACCGACCACCAGCTACAAGTAGTTATTTGTTCTGTTGCAAGTTTGACATCACACCAAAGCATCAGTTGAGACACACGTCGTCAAAATTCTGCACTAACCGCAATGCCATTGTAGATTCACTGGGAGAGCTCCGATCACGGCGCTGGTATCGAGATGCAAAGCATATCGCATAGCCGTCGCTTCTGTAGTGAGCTTTCGATTCGTCAATGGGGGTTTATTCGTAAGAGATTTGCCCCAATCAACCGAGCATGGAATTTCTCAACGGGCGATCCTACAACTTTGAGAAGCTCATGCATGAGAATAAGTCTAATTGGGTTAAGTTTGCGGGCTTGTTTAGCTATGTTCAAAAGGGTTTGATGAGCAAGGGAGCAAAAGACTAACTTTATCTTTCACTTCTAGCTATAAACAAGACAGGATTTTCGAAATTTACCGCCCAATTTCTGTCTTGTTGGCCACTGACTCAATACAGCAAGCCACAGGACGCGATGTTTATTTATCAGCATCTCTCATCCGTAATAGTCAAGCCCCGAGTACTAGCAGTCTTTAGAAAGCTGTCACGATTCCGTGGAAGGCCTCAAGGATGAAGTACATCTTTTGTTGAATCCCATTGCGTTAACTTGAGCTGATGATCAACTGAATACATACACGAAAATTCTTCAGGTTGGGCCGCAACCACTCCAGTGGGCTTCACTTCCACCGACTAACCGGCAGCCGTGTTTCAGGGTTACACGGCATAGCTGATGGTTATTCATCTGCTTCAGTTGCCAATATAATACAGTCGGATAGGTCTTTTCTCCTTTACCATCATTTTCAAATGAGTGCTCAAAAAGGGGCTGAAAACCATTCCCCCGTGATGATACTCTAATATTGGACGCAATTATCGTTTTTATTTCTTACATATCTGATGTTAACTGACTCTCATTGGGATGTCTCTCGTCAAAAAGGGCATTCACGCCGTATTAAGAGCATAGAAGTCACAAATAGGCAGATTGTTTGGGGTGGTTATCCACCTCAGGGGTATAACTCTGCATTAGCAACCACCGAGCAACCACCAAGGACACACGCAACTATAATGCTGTACCTAAAACTTACATAAGTTTGACTAGAGTATGGCAGTTGGATTGAGAAGAGCATCATCTTGTGTCCTCGCCAACCTTTCAAGCATTGCTACATAATTTACCACAGTCTGGGTGGTGCATACAGGCAATTGAGAAAATAGATCGACCCGGTGGCACGAATAACATCATTTTTGCGTTATCGAGCTGCCCGGAATTGTGTTTCTATGTTGACGAATCAATACAATAAGAGAATTCCGTAACATCAAGCCTTCTCTGAACTTATCCTCCACATCTTGTCCAGGTACTCTCATGTCCAGTGAGAGTACTTGATACCCGTCCCGAAACAAATGCGATATTCACACGGGACCCGAATAATGTCCAGAGTACGTAACGGCTAGAGGTATACCAGGCTCTGTGCTACTCGAATACCAGGACTTGCTTTTGCGATGTGCTCGACCAAGCTGGGTCAGATGATTCAGGGAGCACAAGAACGCCATATTGATTCATCAACGAATAGTTTGCACAAGAAGAAGGTCCATGGGTGATACATAGCGAAGACAGAGCTTTGGATGAAGATTGGCCCTGGAATGAGCTATCCCGAGGTATATAGATACGAGATATCCTCACTTCATCCTCAAGCTCAACCCAAGAACAATCTTTGAACTTTGTATCGCAATGACACGTCAAGTAACCAAATCACTTTTCTCATTTTTCGCATTTTTATCTTCGTATTTTTCTGTTGCGGCAGTTAATACCTTGCCCATACCAAAACGGTTCATCACCAAGCATAATGACGATGGAAACGCGATATTTGACACACAGCTCAACGATGAGTTACCCGAGACTATCCTCTCGACACACGTCTTCTACCTCGGTTACGTCACTCAAGGGCTTCCGGTTGATCTCGAAGACGATACAGACATAGAGACATATGGGAACTACATTAGTAACTCTCCAGGGCTTAGTGTCCCTGGAGGTTCGGTGCTTCGGATTGTTGACTTCCCACCCGGTAAATCAGCCATGCATCGAACACTGAGTATAGACTACGGAGTCGTAATTGAGGGTGAGATGGAGCTGGTGCTCGACTCGGGGGAGAATCGTGTGATGAAGCGAGGGGATGTGGCAGTTCAACGTGGGACAAAGCACCAATGGGTCAACACAGATGAGGAGAAATGGGCTCGAATGGTGTTTGTTCTTCAGGAGAGCAAGCAACTGGCAGTGAAAGGAGTTAAACTAGAGGAAGATCTGGGGAGCTTGGGTGATGAGCTGAGACCATTCGCCTGAAATAGACTTGACTCGGTGGATTTGGTTTCAGCTCTGATAGAAGAAGTGAAGATATATACAGTTAAAGGGGTACCTTTCGAGTCAAGGCCACTAACCAATGCTGGGCTAATAAGATGATATTGATTAACAGTCCGCGATAAGGGTCCAGATCTGCCCAGACTGCCAGGTAATAAATAAAGTGTGTCCACCTGATAGTTACATTTCAAGTTAGCGCGTGAGTGGTCAAGTGAGCTACGGTGTGAGAATGAGAGAGAAATGCTTATAGATCTAGCGTTATCTAACCTCTGAAAAGTCCAAATAATGATAACTACCTACCTCCCTACCTACCTAGTAGTCAGGTAAGTTCGAAAGATGGTATAAAGCTGGTTTGTATGTATGAGATGTGAAGCAGATGGGATACCTTATCTAAGTTGGTAGTTCAAGGTGAGGTAAGCTGAGATAGTACGGAGTACCTCCCAACTTGAATACCTCAGCTAAGGGATCTCTCAAGGCCGCACGTTGAACCCCCAGGGGCAAATAAGGCTAGGTTAGAGGTCCCGTCTGGGTAGTTTGATAGGTGATGCAAGGGTGATCGCGTGGGCGAATGCTTAGGACCCCCATCTCCACTTCTTCGGAGCGGGCAGCCCCTCAGATGAGACGGGCCTGCCGCAAGCCCAGTCCTAGCGGACCCGTGGAAGCCCAAGGCCAGCCTTTTTGGACCAACTACTCCGTAAACTTTCTAATAACTTACTCCAATCAACAAATAATTCGGCACGACTTGATTCGAATCACTTCTAAAAGGTTGCTTGTCTTCACTGAGACTCTACATCATCCTGGCATCACCTTGGTCGCCTCAAAAGTACGTTCAACAACTCGCTGCACCTCCCAGACCTGACTCAGCACCGACTTACTACCTATCCTGGCTATCACCGAGCTACCTATTAGTATCTATCTATCATGCATCATGCGAGTTAGCCTTAAACCAACCGTTTTCTAATCGCATCCGATGTAGGTTCAAGGAATACTACCGCCGACAAACACCGCACTCGAACTCAGAATTTCTTCTTTTACCTACACACTCCCATAATACAAAGCTCGGGACCCATCCCCTCGACCGATATCATCAACCCATGTTGTATTAGACGGGGGCTACACATTTCCAATCACCCCCTCGTCAACAACCGAGTCTTCATGAGCTGTCATGGCCAGCCCTTTGGGTGCTTCAGGCCAGTTCGCCTCGGAGGCTGCCAGAGACTACAGTGCTATTGTGTCGAGTAGTTCTCCGAGCTCACATTCGTTGTATAGCGATGATGGCCAACACGAAATCGACCAGAACGATCCAAACTCATATCACCACCAAGATAACGCACGAGATTCAATATGCCCTTGGCGGAATCCTCGTTTCCATCACCAAGAATGCTCGCGATACTTCGACTGTCCATCCCACACCATCGAGCGGAGTCTATCGGAGAGTGGTTCAGGAGACCAGGAATCCACCCATAGCCCGCATCACTCTCGTACTGATATCGAGCGAGATCAGTCTGGAGCACAAACCATTCGCTTCTCAAACCAGGAGCTTGCACAAGTTGGGATCACCAGGGATAATGCCCCAAACCCAGACCCGGACCATGCGAACGTCGACAGAGATGCTGCCTATATTTCGAGCGACCCTCCATCAAACCAAGCTACTTTGCCCCCCACGGTTACCCAGGGATCTGGTCAATCTTCGACAGGCACACCACATGATACGCGGTTCGATCAACCTGATCCTCAGAGTGTTGTCACTAGCAACCCGGATCAGAGAGCGAGGTCCAGCCAACGCATGATCGCGCCAAACTCACAAGTGGCTCAACGAGCGCACACAACTCCATCTCGAGAAAGAATGGATGCACCATTACCTTCTCTAAGGCCTTTGGAAGAGGCACTTCCACCGCTTCCGCGCTCTGCTCGCCAGTCGATATCTTCAGATCAACAACGCCCAAGATGGCAGCCGGATAATGAGGTCACATATTGCCCTATCTGCCACACGCAGTTTAGTTTCTTCATCCGCAAACATCACTGCAGGTAGGTCGAGATATTTCTAGGCAACATTTGATTGCATATGCTTATCAGATCAGGAAATGTGGAAGAGTTGTTTGCAACGCCTGTTCACCGCACAGGATCATCATCCCTCACCAATATATTGTACGGCAACCTGGCTCCGAGGCAGCCATCCATCAATCACTGCTTGTTGACGGACTAGGAGCTGGCTATTTTGATGTGAACGACATGTCGGGAGGTGAACGGGTACGGCTTTGCAATCCTTGCGTACCAGATCCGAATACAGCGCCCCCGCAAAGCCCGAGCCCACAAGCAACTCTTTCACCACGAACTTCTCACCAGAGGTCACGAAGCAGTATCGGTAATGCCTATGGAACACCGCAGCCGTCTAACCGACATGGTGCAGTTTTCGCGCCCGGCACCGGTGGCGACCCGTACAGATATCTCTCTCTCAGGACGAGGAGTGTCACAATGGTACTTCCGCCTTCTCTCGTTGAATCTTTGCATAAACTGACGTATCACTAGGGCTCGGTATCCTCTGGCTCTTCGCCTGCTCCTACCTATAGAAGACGTAGTGGAGCGATACAGTCGCGATTTGATCGAGTCCAAGCAAGTAGCCAGGCTACTTCGGCATCTTCATATCCAGATCGCTATAGCTCACTAGGAGAATCATCGACGAGGCAGCGGGCACTTCCGCCTACGCCACAGATTGCCGAGGAGGATGAATGTCCTGTTTGTCATCGCGAGCTGCCGTCCCAGAGCTTGCCGAACGCTGAGGAACTTCGTCAGTCACATATCACGAAGTGTATCCAGACTCACAGCGCGTATGGAACGTTAGGCGCTAGTGAGGATGGCGGAGCACCAGCTGTACCCCGGTTAACGGGCATGTATTGTTATTCCGCGACGGAGAAGGATTGCATCGATGATGCCGAGTGCACGATTTGTCTCGAAGAATTCACTGTCGGTGACCAAATGGCACGTTTGGAGTGCCTGTGCAGATTTCATAAGCACTGCATCTCGTCTTGGTTCCGTAAACACCCCGGAAGATGCCCAGTTCACCAGCATGGCTTGGGTTATTAAGAGGAGAGGCGTTTATTGCATACGAGAATGGCGTAACGGATATGGGACTGGCCACTTTTCAGCATATTCTTGTGTCTTAGATTTGGTTGAGCACTGACTACTGTGCCTTTGTTCATTGCAGCGTTTGAACTTGAATATGGGTCATGTAGTTGTGCGAGAAGTATTTGGATGTTTAAATACGATTTGCCGAAGAATAGAGAAAAGCTCATAAAACTCACTCCGATGTAAACCATGGTGTCAGTAGCCTGGTGCTAGGGTTGACTCCTTGGTTTTGTCAATGTATTCGATTGCATGAATCTATGCTCAGTGCTGTCTGACTCTGCGTCCTTACCTATATCAAACTCAGACGTTATAACACAGCCAAAATCAAAGCCTGGATATGATAGGCTACGTAATACGATATGCATGTGAATCAAGGCGTTGATAGTCTTTCCCAGGACGCAAGTCGGGTTGGTCTTTAATGGAGCATCAAGAGTTCACATGTTACAATCATGCAAGATTTGAACTTACGAAGGCTATTGATGCCCCAATTCTGTAGGGAAAGACATGCCGAACACACATACTATCAACCCTCTGTCTGGCAAGCCTCCCTGCCCCATGACCTCTGCAGTTTCCATGAAACCAAGGCCGAGATATGGTCTACATGAGTCTACGTACACAAATTATGCCCCTTGAATAGGGATCGCGAATCATCTCTTCTAGAATGAATAGATCTCTATGTTGTGAAGTATCTCGGCGAGTCTCACACTCTTCCAGAGTCTTATGATTACTTAAGGTAACTTTCACTATGACCTATCACTGAGATTCATCACCTTCCGCGTTGTACTGTTACACCGTTTGATGAATTCTTCATATGTCATCTCTCCTTTCGAAGTATACCGAAGTCTAAGGACACTTGTGATCAGTTGTCTCAGCCCTTCTATTCCATGACGTGGTATGATCTCGCGCTTGTCCCCATCTCGCACATTGTATAAGATGATGCGTGGTAATTTTCCAGACTCTGAGCCTAACAAATAGGCATAAACGCAAGCCTGGATAACATGTTCCTTGGAAAGGCTTGAGACGAACTTGATCTCCCATATTGTTAGATCATCCATGTCGTCGTTGCTCTTGGTAGCGGTATTGTGTACAATATCTGCTCGACCACAGAGTTGAGTTTCTTGGCCATCGATATAGAATTGCTGCTGCATCTCAACTTCAAAATCCAGCCCTTGAGCAGAATCCACTAGCTCACTATCAAGTCGACGCCGAGCAAGGATGAGGTCCCCGGGCTTGATCCAGTCATACTTGTGGTCTTTCATCTGAATCACGCGCGGCAGATACCCCGAGAGACTCGCTTCATATTCGCAAGCTTTCCGGCAAAGCCAAGCAACAAGCTTCTCGGGGCATTTTAGCACAATTTCATCAACCTCTCCTTCACTTGATCGCCCCAGTGACCTTAATGTTCCCGCTGTTTCTAGCTCCAGGGCTGCTGCAATAACAAGGCCGTTGATGTCGCTAACAGACTCATAGAACCCCCTTTTCGGATCTGAGAGTACCACATTTCTTATGTTGATGTGTTCATGGCGAGGGAGGGGAGGCGCTAGCCTGTCTACACGAAGATGGCGCTCGACAAGTTTATCAAGAGCATCGCCCTGGACATACCGCGTTATTTCACGGGCTCCACAAGATTTTGGAAGCATAAGGCCTAGCTCTATGAGGCGTCCGGGTAGATCAGGGTGTGGAATTTTTGTTCGTCTCTTTGTCAAGTTGACTATCTTGGCGGTGTCGTACAGAGAATTGATGGATACGCACGGCATCATCTTACTCTCACCGTTATGGACTAATACGAGTTGTTGCAGAGAGCGCGTTAAAGCCACAAAAATTTCGTTGGGACAGCTGTCATCTGGTAAGTCGCGGCC